GTCTGCGCCTCGCGAGACAGCCAAGTGTCACCCTCCCGCGCGAGATACAGCTTCAGCAGATCTGCATCAAAGTAGATCAAACCGGGCTTCTTCTCCTTGATCTTCTCCTTCAGATCACTGACCATCTCGCTGAGCTCAATGTCCACAGAGAAGACGCTCCCGACTTCCAACCACCGCGCAGACCAGCTTCACCATCGTGTTTCTTTTTGTGGAATGCCAGATTTCCTTCTCTGAGCCCAATAATCCTTGCAATTCATTCCACAATTCATTATGCAATTCATTAGCTGATAGAAACGAGGTTGTGACAATTGTGTTCGATAGTTTGATGGAGTCACCGGATCCAGCAGTTGATTAATTCTGAATTTTTGTTCAAATTCTACAATTTTAGGATGTGGAAGCTGCTTGCAACCTGAACGCCCATGGCGTATTTACCTTCGGTATCGACGATTTGAACAGCTCTGGAATGGGCCCAAGAGGCAGCACAGCGTTTGATACGTTGTTGAGCTCGATCACAGCGAAGTCGCAGCTGAGTAACAATTTGTCGCCGGTGACGAAATGCGTGTGCTCAACGACGTCGAGTGGCCAGTTGACCGGCAGCGACGAGTTGGCTGGGACCTCCACGGTACAAGCACTGATAAAGGTAAGACCGAGCATATGACTGAAGAACACACGCCTTTATCGCTTGATGTGCTAGCATAGCAGCTCGACTAAGTGCCTTCGGACTCGTCGATGGTTGCTTTACAGTTGAGATTTTAGATGTTAACCGGACACTAACGCGTGGTCGAACACGACAAACCCGTACTTCCTCCTGATTTACGGGAGGTACCCCATTAACGTTTACTTTCAAACCCAACAGCCCTTCTCAAGAGCTAGAGATTCACGTTGGTACTCCGTCTTACCGACGTATTCAGAATCGACAAGTCGTTGTCAATGAGCCGGAAGTGCTTATCAAAATCCGAGCAGAAGTAGAAGTGTATCGACGCGTCCAGCACCACGATGTGGTTCTTGTGGGCGAACTCGTATTTCCTTTAGGTAGCTAAAACTCAAAACACATTGAGCTTGATGATACACTGTGGCTTCTCGCTCGTGACGTTTGTGGATCGATTCCGAAGTAGAAAGAGCGTTTTTGCTCTTGCCAAGGCAGGAAACACTGCTGGCTCGACCATCGTCTCCAGTACTACGTAGCCGACGACGCTTCAAAATGGCTACGTTTGAGGGATATGAAAGAAAGACCAGCACCTGCATCTAAGCTCGAGCTTCGTGTTTAGCGTTATGTTTGGTGGGCAACGAGAGAAAGAAACAAAACTGCAATGGCAAATACAGATTGCTGAACCAGTAGTCAATTGTAATCTAATGTTGTTAGAACTCGCTATTTGACAAATAAACTACTGAGCGGCTGCAATCAATCCGATTTATCAGTTTCTATTCTGAGAATCGGTTAAGAAGCAAACATTTGATACTTTATTTGCAGATCTGTACATGGCGGCCGATGATGGAGACTTATAGCGAGGGACAGCGTGCGTGTGGAGACTTCAAGAATCATGGACTTGCTTTAGGGACATCAGGGTGGTGTGTATACGTCGTCTGGTCCTGTGGCTGCCGGTATGGAGTGGTGAGGGGGCCTTGTCACAAAGCGATGGGTGGTGGAGATCTGGAACAAAGTGTACCGGTGTGTTTGTGTTGTTTTACATTAAGTGGAGCAGTACTTTACAGGCTTTGTGCGCACTGCAACCGATATTAGGGGGTCTCATGGGCTCGAACACGGTCGAACGGCAACCCTGTGGAAGATCTCAGCACCGCCACCGTGTGCAGCCCCTCGCAGCAATTCTTCTGCACCTCTAGCACCATTTGCACTGCACTTGCATTCGCCATCCGCTACTCCATTGTGCTCCCCGATACTTGGAACATACTTGGCGGAAACTTGCAATAAACTCGAGGAACAAACTCCAAAAGACGCAACAGCAGCACGTGACACACCCGAGCCACAGCCAACAGACATGGAGCCAAGCAGAGAGCAGGATAAGAGCAGGTGTAGGATAATGCGTCCTAAGACACGTCCTAAACTGTCCTATTTGTCCTAAATTTTACAGGGAGATTTTGGAGATGTGTCCTAAAAAGCGACTAATCCTTCGTTACAGAATATTATAATTTGTGTGTTTACACACTGGTTGACTATTGGTCCAAGTGTCTCTTGTTACCTCGTTTTGCTGCTTGGAGTGTGTCTGATGGTTGATACATAGTATGCCCATCCTGCTCTCTGCTTGGCTCCATGTTGCTTGGCTGTGGCTCGGGTGTGTCACGTGCTGCTGTTGCGTCTTTTGGAGTTTGTTCCTCGAGTTTATTGCAAGTTTCCGCCAAGTATGTTCCAAGTATCGGGGAGCACAATGGAGTAGCGGATGGCGAATGCAAGTGCAGTGCAAATGGTGCTAGAGGTGCAGAAGAATTGCTGCGAGGGGCTGCACACGGTGGCGGTGCTGAGATCTTCCACAGGGTTGCCGTTCGACCGTGTTCGAGCCCATGAGACCCCCTAATATCGGTTGCAGTGCGCACAAAGCCTGTAAAGTACTGCTCCACTTAATGTAAAACAACACAAACACACCGGTACACTTTGTTCCAGATCTCCACCACCCATCGCTTTGTGACAAGGCCCCCTCACCACTCCATACCGGCAGCCACAGGACCAGACGACGTATACACACCACCCTGATGTCCCTAAAGCAAGTCCATGATTCTTGAAGTCTCCACACGCACGCTGTCCCTCGCTATAAGTCTCCATCATCGGCCGCCATGTACAGATCTGCAAATAAAGTATCAAATGTTTGCTTCTTAACCGATTCTCAGAATAGAAACTGATAAATTGGATTGCTTGCAGGCGCTCATTTGTTTATTTGTCAAATAGCGAGTTCTAACAACATTAGATTACATTTGACTACTGGTTCAGCAATCTGTATTTGCCATTGCAGTTTTGTTTCTTTCTCTCGTTGCCCAGCAAACATAACGCTAAACACGAAGCTCGAGCTTAGATGCAGGTGTATCGGTGGATGGTATTTCTTGCATCTTGCTCAAATGTAGCCATTTCGACGCGTCCTTGGATGGAGACGATGACCGAGCCAGCAGTGTTTCCTGCCTTGGCAAGAGCAAAAACGCTCTTTCTACTTCGGAATCGATCCACAAACGTCACGAGCGAGAAGCCACAGTGTATCATCAAGCTCAATGTGTTTTGAGTTTCAGCTACCTAAAGGAAATACGAGTTCGCCCACAAGAACCACATCGTGGTGCTGGACGCGTCGATACACTTCTACTTCTGCTCGGATTTTGATAAGCACTTCCGGCTCATTGACAACGACTTGTCGATTCTGAATACGTCGGTAAGACGGAGTACCAACGTGAATCTCTAGCTCCTGTTGGGTTTGAAAGTAAACGTTAATGGGGTACCTCCCGTAAATCAGGAGGAAGTACGGGTTTGTCGTGTTCGACCACGCGTTAGTGTCCGGTTAACATCTAAAATCTCAACTGTAAAGCAACCATCGACGAGTCCGAAGGCACTTAGTCGAGCTGCTATGCTAGCACATCAAGCGATAAAGGCGTGTGTTCTTCAGTCATATGCTCGGTCTTACCTTTATCAGTGCTTGTACCGTGGAGGTCCCAGCCAACTCGTCGCTGCCGGTCAACTGGCCACTCGACGTCGTTGAGCACACGCATTTCGTCACCGGCGACAAATTGTTACTCAGCTGCGACTTCGCTGTGATCGAGCTCAACAACGTATCAAACGCTGTGCTGCCTCTTGGGCCCATTCCAGAGCTGTTCAAATCGTCGATACCGAAGGTAAATACGCCATGGGCGTTCAGGTTGCAAGCAGCTTCCACATCCTAAAATTGTAGAATTTGAACAAAAATTCAGAATTAATCAACTGCTGGATCCGGTGACTCCATCAAACTATCGAACACAATTGTCACAACCTCGTTTCTATCAGCTAATGAATTGCATAATGAATTGTGGAATGAATTGCAAGGATTATTGGGCTCAGAGAAGGAAATCTGGCATTCCACAAAAAGAAACACGATGGTGAAGCTGGTCTGCGCGGTGGGAGCGTCTTCTCTGTGGACATTGAGCTCAGCGAGATGGTCAGTGATCTGAAGGAGAAGATCAAGGAGAAGAAGCCCGGTTTGATCTACTTTGATGCAGATCTGCTGAAGCTGTATCTCGCGCGGGAGGGTGACACTTGGCTGTACTCGCGAGGCGCAGACATTAAGGCGGTTAAGGCGAAAAAAATTCCAGATCGAATTAAAAACCTCATGCAAGAGCACTTGCTACTGGACGAGGCGTGCAGACTCAACAATGATGAATACTTCGGTGACAACCTCGAGCAAGTAGACAGAGACATCCATGTGCTGGTGGACTGTCCGGATGAGCCGGATCGAGTCATCAAGTACAAGCGTAAGTGCGTTTACTCCCCCACAACTAATAGTGTAACATGATTTTGATGCAGCACTACTTGATGATGTCAGGACAGGATGGATTCGATGGTGCTTCTACGGAGAATTGGTTCTCATGGTACTTGCCGTGGTCTTCTCTGCAGTCGTTGTTTACTGTGGAAAAGGAGAAACGTGCGTAAACGCTACAACATTCACTGTAGCTGGTTGCGTGCTGACATCATTGATAGGGATAATTGGGACCCGCAAACAACGCATCAAGTCAAAGATAGCACTTGCGTACAGACGTTGGGGGTATGAGTCGATTCCTTGAGTGTTGTCTTTGGTTTTGAGCAGTGATGATAGAGTCATTCCGCTTATTTCGTTGCGTCTTAACATCAAGATATGATCCAGTTGCTTTTGCCGTCGATGTACACGGAACACACATCCATTCTGAGAGCAACTGTCGCATCCCTTTTGTCCGATCCTAGAATTGAAATCCATAGACGTTCCGAGCCAGCGCCATCGCAAGCTGAAACAGACCAAAGGAAATAACCGAGAAGGCCCACAGGACTCATAGAATTCTCGTCATTTTCTCACCCAAAACTGCTGGGTCTCATGGACTTACTGAGCTTCTAACCGCCGTAGATTTCAAGGTCGTGTCTCAATTTATATGAACGCTCGATGCCCACTTGATGAGGTTGTTTCCCCGACAAATCCAAACTTCAGCAACTGCCCAACATAGTCACCCAGGAACTTTATCTGTGCCAGCGGATATCTGCGCGGCCTACATGGATATGGCTCTGCTCCTTTGACCAAAGTGACGACGACGAGCGGCGCTTCTAATCTGGAGCAATTCGAGACCTGTAGAGATGAATATTTTCCTGGCTCAGCTGAATCACATCATCTCAAAAGAAAGCGTACTGTTCATGACTCAGCACGTCGTTACATTCGCAGCACTTCAACTTTAACTTCATCGTCGACAAGACCATCAACATCGGGCTCTTCTTAGCATTGGCTAGTTGCTCAAATGCCTGTTTGACATCTATTCTACGTCTTTTCATTGCTTGCTTGATCAATAGGAGCTTATCTTCCTCTTCAACGACCAGGAAGGCAGCCTTGTACAGATGAGCAGGACCGGTGGCGATGCGTCAACAGAGCAGCCTCATGACTCAAGCGTAGATTTATTTTTACGTACACCCGGGTGTTAGAGTCTTTTGAGTCCCGTCCTGCCGTCCTGCATTTATCCTTGTTGGATTGCATCTGCTGGAAGGATAGACTTGTCTGCTGCACCCGTGTCCGGACACATTCAGATCCCCACGGCTCCATTGATCAGACCTGTGTACTCCTTGTCATTTAACACCTCGCTCACTACTTTTGATCCATTATCGGGCCCAGCGATCTCTGTCGACAGTTTTTCTTCAGCTGCACGCTTGACTTTCCAAACCTTATTCTTAGGCTTCTTTCTTTTCTTCAGGTGCGGCATTTGGGCAATCTCTTAGTCAATGTTCACCCTTTGCTTGTCAGCGAGAGGTTATCCACCAGAATGTTGGTTCTCTGCTTCAAACAAGCCGCGTAATCCTAGTCTTCCTTGCTGCCCCGTCCCTAGATTTCATTTTCCGCTAATGAATCGCTCAAGCCAGAAAACGCAAGCGCGCTCCATCGTGACACTAGATGGGTGCGTAAGTCGCAGAGTGGCTCCACCCGATTCGGTGCCTCGAGATCACGCTATGCTGCAATTTCGCTGCGTAACGAACACGAGAACACGTTGGCCCCCATGATGCATTACGGCTGTACCATCATCACCATGTACCCGGTGCTGAGCACCAGCGCCCTGCGAAGCGGCACTTCTTCTTGCCAAACAAAAGCATCATCTGGACACTCGTGGGTGCGTCTTCCTGTATCTACAGCAGCGCGCAGCCACACGGGAACATGGCACTACTTAAGAATATATTCCTTGAATTCGTGTACAAACGGGAGACGTCACTAATGGCGTTCGTGGAGAGGGTGCCAAGTGATCAGTGTCATCCCCTTTGAACTGCCGCATACGACGCACCTGCCACCTCCTCCAGCACCTCAAGAATTTCCTCGCGTCGTGGAAAATGCAACTGAGCAACGCAAGTTTCGTCGGAGTCTGTGGCAAAGACAAACACAAAGAAACGGAAGCGCAAGACTGCGCCAAAGCCGTCAACACCAGTAGCATCGACGCCCGCCGTTGCAGATGAAGAAGCTCCCTTGGTCACCCAGAAGAAGACGAAAGGGAAACAGAAAAAAGCTGGGAGTCGGGTGCAGCAGACACCATCCGACACTTGTGATGAGGCCGAGGTTTCGACCAAGCGTAGACGCATAATCAGCAAGAATGCTAGTGTGGCACCAGCCTCTAGTCCTGTTGAATCAACCCCAAAGCGCCCTAAACCGGCAAAAGAAACTACGAAGCCACTACAGGAATCGGCTTCTGGACCTGCAACTAGCTCAAA